ATAACTCCCCAAGATGTCTGTGACAAATACTAAGACACCCATTTTTTATAATAAGCTGTTTTGAGAAAACCAGCTCATTAAAACTAATGGTTAACACTAGTGTATGAAAATCAGACATCAATAGCACAAAGAAACCTGAGCCCTGTCACTTGACTAGCATGTGACTGGTCTGAGGTGGGTGCACACAATAATACCCACTATCAACAGAGGGACCTGAGGGAGCCACAGCTGCGGGGTCACAGAGCACAGAGCGGGGGGGGGGGGGGGGGGGGAGAAGATGCTGCCATACTTTAGTTATGGACGCCTGCGGAGAGATAGCGCGCTGGTATGAAAACAAAAAGCCAGGGTCTTCACTCAGTGAGTCTGTGTGTGTGTGTGTGTGTGTGTGTGTGTGTGTGTGTGTGTGTGTGTGTGTGTGTGTGTGTGTGTGTGTGTGTGTGTGTGTGTGTGTGTGTGTGTGTGTGTGTGTGTGTGTGTGTGTGTGTGTGTGTCCACCCGTCTGGTTTTCCCTCTGTGCGTCTGTCCAAGCTTTAGCGTTGCAAAGGTGTAAAACACAGTCCCTAATCTTTACAGAGGTGTCGTTGAGATAAAAAATGAAGGTTTATTAAAAAAAACAGCCTTAGTCCAACACCGGAGGCATTTGTTTTTGAGCATCTAGGTCAGTGTGTCCAAACTACTGCCCATTTTTAATTGGCAAGCAGCTAATTCTAAAATGATAGATACTTGTTACTGTACTACATTTGTTTAACAAAATGAGTTACTATTTACTTTACATATTCAGATTATTGGCTAATACAAAATATAAATAAACTAATAAATAAACTATGATATATGATTATAGGTTGAGATATCCAGCAGTATATCTAATTAAATTAGCTATTCATTTATCAGCAGTGATGAACACATTATGGATAAATTATAATAATCCAGTCATTTATTAGATATGATTCTAAAATGGGACATCACACACAATACGTACTTTTTTACTGTTTTGTACTTTTACTTAAGTAAGATTTTGTATGCAGGACTTTTACCTGTAGTATTTCTACTTTTGCTTAAGTAAAATATTTGAGTACTTATTCCACCTCTGCAATAAGTAATAATAACTTGCAGCTCTCGTACCTCACATTAATTACAAACAATAAACAATCTTTCTGGATACTTACAGTTCAGATGCAGTTTTCAGTTGGCAGCAGTATGGTTTTATTTACAGTAAATAAGAGCGCTGTCATCTGATCGGAGCTTCCCTTCAAGCCATTTGGACGGGCTGTAACATAAGAGAAACTGGTACGACAAATTAACGTGACACTGGTCTATTCAGACAAGTGACAATTATACCCAAAATTCATTCAGTAGATGCTTTCAATCTTAATCACACAATTAGACCTCAAACTGGCACTGAGGAAGAGTTACTGGTGTCCACAGATAGCAGTATTTGTAAAATGATGTAAAAATCCCTAAATAAGACCAAACAACCTTGTGTTATAGTGCATCCGAAAGTATTCATATCCCTTCACTTTTTCCACATTTTGTTATGTTACAGCCATATTTCAAAATGGATTAAATTCATTTTTTTTCTCAACATTCGAGACACAATACCCCATAATGACAAAGTGGAAAAAGATTTAAAATATTTGTTGTAAATTAATTAAAAATAAAACACTCAAATATCACAAACATAAGTATTCACACCCTTTACTCAATACTTTGTTGAAGCACCTTTGGCAGCAATTACAGCCTCAAGTCTTCTTGAGTATGATGCTACAAGCTTGGGGCACACCTATCTTTGGGCAGTTTCTCACATTCTTCTTTGCAGATTGTCTCAAGCTCCATCAGGTTGGATGGGAAGCGTCGGTGCACTCACGGACATTCACAGACTTGTCCTGAAGCCACTCCTTTGTTATCGTGACTGTGTGCTTAGGGTCATTGTCCTGTTGAAAGGTGAACCTTTGCCCCAGTCTGAGGTCCAGAGCGCTCTGGAGCAGGTTTTCATCAAGGATCTCCCTGTACATTGCTCCCAGTTCCTGCCGCTGGAAAACATCCCCACAGCATGATGCTGCCATCACTGTAGGGATGGTATTGGCCATTGATGAGCGGTGCCTGGTTTCCTCCAGACATGATGCTTGGCATTCAGGCCAAAGAGATCATCAAACCAGACAATATGGTTTCTCATGGTCTGAGAGTACTCCATGGGGGCTTTCATGTGCCTTTGGCTTCCTTCTGGCCACTCTACCATAAAGGCCTGATTGGTGGAGTGCTGCACAGATGGTTGTCTTTCTGGAAAGTTCTCCCATCTCCACAGAGGAACACTGGAATCACACAAACAATGCTTTAAAATCGTTTTCGTTTTGTCATTATGGGGTATTGTGTGTGGAATATTGAGAACAAAAATGAATTGAATCCATTTAGAAAATAATGCTGTAACATAACAAAATGTGAAAAAAGTGAAGGGGTATGAATACTTTCCGGATGCACTGTGTGTATGGTAACCCTAGATTGGAGAAAGTCATGTGAGATGGTAAAGGTTAGGATCGTTTTTCAAATGGAGGATTACCAACTAGACACAATGCCACCGTTGACATTTATAAGGCCATGCCTCTAGCTTCATGAATTTGGTGTCGAACCCTGCCAAATAATATGAGGGAAAGTATCAGCTAATTGTGTGAAACCAAGGACTAGCATAGATTATCACACCATAATAATAATAATTCCTTACATTTATTATAGCGCTTTTCCAGATGCTCAAAGCGCTTTACAAATACACATTACACACATCATGGTCACCACTGTGGACAATACCCACAGGAGCAAGCAAGTTCAGGTGAAGTGTCTTGCCCAAGGACACGACGGCTTTACAGACGCAGCAGCGGCGGGTTTCACCCCTTGATCTGATGATCATTGCACAGCGCACTGCGCCACACCGTCCATCTTCACGAGGTCATCGAGGCGCTTTTACAAGTACACATTGATATCCTACATGTACTGTGGACATTACCCACAGGAGCAAATCCGGGTGAAGTGTCTTGCCCAAGGACACAACGGCCTGACGCAGTGGCGGCAGGAGCGGGTTTCGAACTGGAGTTCCCCAGCTTCCCCTTGATCTGATGATCAGATGCACAGACCACTGCGCCACCCGTCACAAGACCAAGACATGCATAATAACAAAACCAAATGCCAACCAACAGAGGCTTGAAAACCAAAACAGGGGAATGCCTGCCTCGATGTGTCACAGTGGCTTTTCTTTCTCGTCATAAGAGATTTAGAGGAAGTAACAGTGAGGGCAGCGGTATTGTATGAAAGTGAGGAAAGCAAGATGTCGGTACCCATTTCTCACTGCCAGCCCACAAGTCAATGACCACTTCAAACGTAACTGCTTACTTTTATGTTGAACCTTCAGCAGAATTGTATGGTTACACCAAGAGAGTTTAATGAAATGGCATCATGGGGGGTTTTGCTTTAAAATGAAGTTCGGCAAAAATTCCCCAGAGACATTTCAGTATAACTTCAGATTGTGCACATTTTTCAAAGAACTATGTTTATCTCTTCAGGGAACACAAATAATCAATATACCAAAACTCACAACTCTGTGCCCATGGTTAACCACAGTCAGAAACTTGTTTGAAGTACTACCCACTCTTTCAGGCACTGGGAGTTATAGTAGCCTACACATTGATATGCAAGCAGAAAGTATGATCTAGTAAAGGATTAGAGCAAATCTTACTTTTTTTAAAATACCAAATCCACTGTCCAAATATCTACATCTATATATATTCACAAAGCAATATATATGTTTTTAATATATTAAAATGCATATAAACACTCAATAAGAGACTATGATTCAGGCATAAACAGATAAGACATTTTTAAGAGATGCAGACTGGGCGACTTTCAAAAATTCAGATATATTCACCTTTTGAACTCGGCCTGGTGTAAATCCACAGGTTCATATTTTATTAGCTTCTTATGTTATAGGTTGAATCACATGGAACGTACCTTTCTAAGTCGGACAACATTAATATAGCTTCTTTAAAAGCAGCTTGTTTCTGTGTGTGAACAAGAAGTATGTGTAAGGTTCAATACTGTTGCCATTCATGATGGATTTAAGGCTTATAGGCAGCATTACGACGTGTAATGTGTAGAGGAGCATGCACCTCAGGGGTAAATATATAACGTTCCAAACCCTGTGTGATGCTCCCTTTCATATTGAAACTGGTAGTCTACATTTAAAAGTGATAAACACATTTCTAATGATCATTTAATGTGGCATTGATTAATTAATACATGACGGTCCTTGATATTTGAATCATGACAATGACTGAATGGGGGAATGACAACTATCATGGTTTCTTTCCGTGAGGTCTCACAAAAAGGCTTTAAAGTTCTCAAATTCCAATTTAAAATATACAGGTGCCATGTGACAACATATTTCTGAACTGGTTTAGATGCACACTCCGACATGCTTAACTTTCTCACCTGTTTTTGAGCATGACGCCCCCCAAGTATTTGTGTGTAAAGGTTATATGCCAGAACATGCCGGATAATTACCGTCTCAGCAAAGTTTACATATTTCAGGAAGATAGAGCTATAATAAATCTGACTCTTCGAAAAACCCATAGTTTATAGAGATTGTGAAGAGTGCAGTGTTACGGAGAGCCAGTAGCCATCCGTCAAATCAAATTCCAGCAGCGGTTAAGACTCGTCATGCTCCGACAGCTGCAGGCCCTCCGGCTGATACACCGCTGTTTCAAAAACATAAGAAAAGGAAGAAAACGCAGAGACCTGCCTGCACATCAGCACTTTTATCTGCTCGTTTCCAAGTGTGCTACATGTAGAGAAAGTCAATTCTTACTCCAAACTTTACTCAAAAGTGTCAATGTTTACACATTTGATGCGGCTTTGAACAAAATGAAACCAAATAAGACAACAGTAGCCATGAAACATACAACTGAACTGGTGTGCTACGAAAATGTTCCTCTGCACAAATGGAATCAACAAAAAGAAAACTTGAATGGGATCCTTTAATCTTTTCATTTATTTGGGATGAACCTAGAACATTGAGCTAACCTTTATCAGAAGGACAAACAAATCTAATTTAGGTGGAGGCCATGTGTGGATCAAATGGTACATCTCCTGTGGCAGGCAGGAGGTACAACTAAGTGCTTTTCGCTTGGAGAGGGACTTCAGCCAGATTGGCGTTCTCACCCTCTGATCCCAGAACAGGAGGGCGATCTCAACGTGTAATCAGGCTGTCTGAAAACCCATCAATATAATAAATATAAATACATCTTAAGTTTTCTACAGATCTTGAAAAGGACATGACAAAAATAGCTTTGTTTTCAAATTTAATGCATAAATAAAGTGTAATAATAACATTAATTACAATAGTTTTAATAAACCTTAAGCTTTTTGAAAAAACAAAGTATGCCTGACCCTTGGAAATCTAAGGCTTGGGCCGTCCAAACATGTCTAGTTTTCTTTTCTATTTTCACAGTAGACGCACATTGACACACCTATGAGCATAATAAATTATCACTCCATGCATGGCATCACTTCAACAATCTGGAGACGTGTCAAAAGATGACCGTGAGATATGTCATTTCTTTGGGGTGCAACTAAAACAGTTCTTGATGAAGTCATTTGTTTTTTTCCCTAGTCAACCGGTGATTGGCTTTGATAAACCTCATGAGTAGAAAACTGAATAATCCTTTTAAACCTCAACACAAATGATGATAAATATTATGATAACAACCTGGGCTGTAAATCAAGAGCGAAGTGATCCTTGTAGAAGAATTGTCACAAGTAGAAAACTGTCCTAAATGGGGTGGTAGAGGAAACACTATATCTAGCCCCTGATTCAAACGTTCCTATATTTAACAACCGATTGATGGCTTCTTCCTGAGAAAAAGGGAAAAAACAATGAAATTGGTGATTCACGTGGGATGTGTGATTTGAAGCAGTCTTTTAAAGTCCCAGCCGTAGTTCATAAATATGTAGCCTGACAAGCCACGGAAGAAGCAGAAGCGGGAGGAAGAGGAGGGGGGGCGTTTCCTATGAGCAGTAGCCAGAAACCTGGAGCTGCATCTCTGTGGGGAGTTGAGGAGGAGGAGGAGGAGGAGGAGGAGGAGGAGGAGGAGGAGGAGGAGGAGGAGGAGGAGGAGGAGGAGGAGGAGGAGGAGGAGGAGGAGGAGGAGGAGGAGGATCACTCCATGATGGCTCGGTAAATGACGGGCTCGATGTAGTCCTCTCTATACCGCGAGTTGGTGACTCGTTGCCTTTTGGTGTTCTGCTTGACGTTGCTCTGAGAAAAGAGCTCGAAGCGCATGTCTGACGCCACCGACTGAGGAGCAAACATCAGGAAGAGACATTAGTGCCTGGCAGTGCTCACACATTTCATAGAACGCTGTCTTATCATAAAAGAGACCTTCTGATGATAAAATGTAAAATTACCAGTCGGGACTTCACTCGTTTGGGCAGATTCTCTTCTAAAGTATAGATGTCTTCTCGCTTCACAGAGATTTGAGAGGCATCCTCAAACTCCACCTGCACACACACACACACACAGTAAATCCCGAATGAACATATCCTACACCTTCTGTAGAATGTAAGGAGCCAGCATTGCATGGTTTGAGATACTGATGAAGGTTAACAGTTACAACACTGAGTATTTTTAAAAAGCGAGAAAAAAACAGGCTTTACAAAAAAAAGGTCTTAGTATTAGAACAATGAAATGTAAACACGTTCAGTGACTTGTGTCTATTTACGACATCTTTCGAAGGACACTGAATTTTATATTCCATTATTTCAGGGATCAGGGGGAACCATGACATGAAATGTGCAACATATTTCCACCCTGGTTATACTTATGAAAGATTCTTTATCTAGTTCCTTTTTTTACTATGCAATGTACACACTTTACTCACACGCTTTCTATTTAAGTGTTAACCAGTCATCCAAAAATAAAAGCAGACTGCTGTGTCACATCATCAATTCTCTCTAATAGACCACCACACATAAGCACAGGACAAACAGCATAATCAGGACGACCACATAAAAGCATTTTACTATAAAATATCGCATGGACAAGACAAGAGTCTTAACATTTATACACAAACCCCCCATATGTGGAGGCTCAGAAACATAACCCTCTGATGTGGTTTGATCAAACCTTTTAGAAGCAGTCAGTGAGATAGAAAGAGACAGCCAGATATAAACGGGGGCTTTACCAGGTACATGGGGATGGAGTGCGACGCCATGAACTTGGCTCCATATATCAACCCGTCTGTCCATCGCACCTGAACTGCTTCACCTTTGGTGGGGGGGCCGTGGCGCGCGCAGTCACGGTCCTGAAAAGAGAGTGAATGGTGAACTCGGGCTGTGTATTACAAGAGGAGTTTAACTAAATATGGAATTATATCAGCCTATCTGCCTCTAACTATACTTTGATTGACAGCCTTTGTACTAACCGCAATGTCCTCTGGGAAGAGGTTGTCGCTGTAGGAGCCGTCGTCGAACACCACCTCGTAGAAGGTGGCTGTGGTCAGCTCCACCACCTCGCTGTGGTAGTACCGGGTGTTTCTGTATTTGCAGATCACCCTCTGCCCGACGGCCAGCTCCCGCATGGACGCCATGTTGCGCTGGGGACAGAAACAGAGCGGTTACTCTTAACAGCTTATCACTACACGGCCTCATTAAAAGATAAGCGGTGTAAAATAAACAGCATGAGTGTAAAATGATATCTCCGCAATGATTAGACTACTATAGGTTAGTAATGTTTACCCAACCTATTATACTGCTTTATGGTGCAATAAACATCTGAGCATTACATCTTAAGGATTTACACAAAGCCCAGAGTTATAGTAGTAACATAGTTCACAAAGACAACAGCATAGAAACCATGAAGCAAGTGTATCTGCATCCAATGAACATTCATGTTGTGGCTGCATATCTCGTGAAAGGTTCTGGGTCCTTCAGTGAATTAAAGCAGCATGAACAAGAGAAAGACTTCCTGTGGTGGGTCGAGAATCCAGAAAAACAATCTTTTAACTATTACTGTGCCAGTTTAGATGCAAGGCTGTCTTTACAATGATCTTCTTTCTCAAAAATAGACAATAAAACTGAAAATGTGTGCATTTACCCCAGATTAGGAAGCGGGAAAACATTTGAATAATCAATTTAAAGTGTGATAAACACCATTTGCCACATATCGAAACCACAAAAAGAAAAGACAGGAACAGCAGGTAATCCATGTCCTTAGTAGTTGCCTGATCAACATTATATCACAGCTAATGAAAGTGTCTGAAACCTTAACGCATGTAGAGCTGGTGAATATCCTGTTGATCCGAGCCCATTCATGTCTGATTTGTGGGCAGCACGACTCATTTAAGGGTCAGACTGGATTTAGGGAGTCACTTCCTGTGCATTGTACGGGGGCTAGAATTGGTGCCAGAAAGATCGTCAGGCGCAGACAGTCTGGTTTCTTTTTGCATTTTTCAAGTGTACTGTGAGGACTCATGTCGAGGCTTGACGATCTTACCATACAGTGTCAGCTCGTAAATCTTTAGCTCTGGCTTTACATCGCAGAGGATTTATTAAGACAGTGTAAAAAATATCTAAAAATCATACAGCATATGTCGAGACTTACATACTCAAATTAAATCAGACACCATATTATATTAAGTTCATGGGTTGGGCCTGCCGCCTTCCTGCTGTAGAAATCATGCTTACATGGAACCTTGTTCACCAGCAGAACTGAGAAAAACACAAACATGACCTTTCTTTCCAGTTCAAGCGTAGTGCTCTTCTTGGAATGGGAACATCGAAGACACTATCAATCATTATCCTTTTTTGGGGGGGATAATATTTGCAGTTCCTTTTTTTGGCTTACTTACTTATTACTTATCTAAACAACCTTATCCAAGCTAAGCAGTGAGACCAGACGCAGAGCAAAAAGTGAAAGTGTCTCATAGGGTTAGCAACCAATTAACCCTTTGTCCTCAAACACACAAATACATATTTAAACAAAAAGCTTCACAAGTTAACAGAAGTAGAAATGATGTGATCTTTCCAACCCTATTCTTTACTACGAGAGTAACTGTGTTTCTGCTGGTTACCTCGGGTATGGCAGGCGTTTTGTGTCTTTGACAGGTGATGAAGACGGTGAAGGGCCAGTCCTCCGGGTGCATGAGGTTGCCGGCGGCCTGAGCGCAGGTGGGGTGGAACGCCGTGGAGCAGCGCCCGTGGGAGCACTGCACGCAGCAGCCCGTCACCTCCCTCTTCATCCGCTTCCTGCAATATGCACATTTCTACAGGAGCGACAAAGAAAGAAAAAAAGTGTGGCGAGGGAACAGATTAATGGACGAGTTAAAGCAAAGGAAGTACAGGGGAAGGAAATGAGGAGAGAGGAAACAAGGGGAGGATGAGAGGGAGAAAGAAATCAGGGTAAGGCAGACCCAGACACCAACTGGAACACAGGTATGTAAGGAGGGAAATGACACGACTTCCTTTGGATATTTTAATGGATTCTGACATCATATGTGCTTATTTAGAAGTACATCTAAAACCTATAACAATGGAGACAAGGACATCCATTGTGAAGAAAGGCCCACATTTATATCAATGTGTTTGCATGTGACTCATTCACAAGAAGCATACTGTCTTCCTTTTCACATCAAGTTCAAATCCTGTGTATTATGACCAATAATTTGTAATCATGTGGTCGGAATGACACCGCTTCATCACTATGGAAACCGTTTTTAGAAACATGAAGGGCAAGATAGAGAAGTGAAACTCGGTCAGGACCGCCGCCTGGCGCCATGGCAGTTTCACTCAGCTAGACTGTGTCTCCACGGTGAGAACCACCAACACATGCCATGAGAACAAAACTCCACGACCCGATCTGTGTTTGGGTTTAGTAGTCAAAACCATGAAGTATAATTGGGCATTATGATAAAAGTGAGAAAGAAAATAGTTAATGCAATCAATTTGATTATTAAGATATTTGTATATTGCCCTATTAAAACAATAATTCATTCATAAATATTGTCACATCTAAAGCATTTGACTCAACACATAAAGCACATTAAATTAAGTATAATAGTGGCATATTTTATAATTGGTCTTAATTTGACCTCATAGATGTATTATGAGATTAATAATAACAATTATGAGCCCAGTTTGTTGGATCAATTCTGGCCCTTAATTAAATAACATTGTTGTGGTACATTGATAGATGTAATGACTGTACATCATGGAAAATCTTGTCCCGATCTAGAGATTTACTAACTTTTGTAACAAGTACTTAACTCCAGACGTTTAATTATTAAATCACTCGAGGAATAGTAGGGGATACAAGTGGGTAAAGTTAATTAAAGTCATTTTCTCAATCAAATATGGACGTTAAATGGAACAGAATACGTCTGAAGAACATTACGCATGGTGCACCGTAATGTTACGATACACAAAGGACATTGCGGGCGATGAGAAGATATTCAGAAAATCGAGTGGATATAGAAACACGTTGCTCCTGTTGTTAATCTTCATAATGTATCTCGCTGGGGGCGGACAGAGGGTAGACAGAATAGTGCCGTCTTCCCGCTGCTTCCATATTGACATAAACCTCCAGACCCAGATGCTTTTATTTTTATATTTTAAAATATTTTAATATTTATTATAGTGTGCATAGCTGCAGTAGTGGCCCATGTCATTTCCAATGTGCGCAGCTTCACGTTAAAGATCACCTCAGTGATGTCTCTGCCTTTACCAGGAGCTGGCATTACTACGTGCTCCATGACGCATGTTTCACAGTCAATGACTTGGCCTTTGTCAATAAAGAAATCTATGGAAGTACTTTAAAACAGAAACTTAGGTCAACGATCATCAGGTATGACCTTCACGCCCTGTAGAGGCAGTCAGGCCACGGTCACTGTGACTGACGGAGGCTTACCAGTTTGAAGCGTGTCATCGGGATAGTGGAGAGGTCGATGGGTCCTCGCTCAGTGACATTGACAAACTGAGCTTCCAGCACAGTGATGGCACACAGCACATGAACCCACCTGAAAGACAAATAAGAGGTTTCAGAACAAACTATTCAATGTCCAGGGTGCAATCTTGCTGGAAGAGCACACATTCAACAACGTGGTTAGCAAATTAAATATTAGGTTTGGAGTAGGAATTAGACTGGGATTAAAAGAGAAAGCACCAAACATATCTCTTCACATTGGCATTTCCACCCTGGTCATTTTTCGTCACACCTCCTCTGTTTTTATTGATTACTGCATTGTCTGCTGGTGTTTTGCATCTTGTACGGCGACCTAGAGAGCCTTGAAAGGCGCCTTCATAAATAAAATGCATTATTATTAACAATCTGGTATAATCAATTGTTGTTTTTTTAATTAAGATTGTCTTCAGCTAAAAAAAATATTTATAAATGTGACATCAATATTCCAATAAAAATGTTTTGTATTTGAACAAACAGTCATGAAAGATAATTATTTACTTTTGAAAACAGCAGTTGGACAACAGAAATGAGCTTTTCAATGTCCATTTTCTGACTTGTTGCAGAGCTTTCAGCAGCATCTCTCAGGCCCTCCGCCTCAGCAGGTTTTATTCTCACAGTTGTCATGGAGATGGCCATCAGCGTGATGGATTGGCATGGCGGTTAACACTTTGGAGATAACCTCCTCGATTATATTTGAGCAAAAAACATTCGCTCGACTAGAACGGAAAGAAAGCATTGTTCTCTCCTCGTGTGTTTGAAAATAATCAGTCACTGGAGATTAAAAAAAGAAAAAACATTATTTTTCTTTTCCATGGTATTTCATGTAACTTGAAGTGCTTAGATAAATACCAACAATTTAAAATCCAGCTTATACAAAATAATTGTATTATGGTCTGGTCTGTAAGAGCCAATTCATAACAGGGGATTCATCCATTAAAGAGTGATAAAGCGGATTAGTCTGCACACAAATAGGAAGTCCCATATTGGTAAGAAACTGTGTGTACAGGAAAACGTCTCGCTTCTGTGTTAACGTGTTTCCTGACATTTAAACTGATGTTCACTTACTCTGCCAAGTGTAACTGCAGGCTGAGAGAGTGTAACACCTGCACACACACTTCTACTCTGTGTGTGTGCAATTAAAACGTGTATTTAACTTGAGGGGCTTGATCCATCGGATGGATTTCCAGCAGTTACAGACTGAAGAAACAAACTTAATGAGGTCAAAGGAGAGAAACTGGTAAACACGGTTGACAATCTGTTGTGTACCAACCATGTCTGCTCTGTTTTGTAAACATCATAAATCCTGTGATTGCTTTTTCTTCTTGCCTTTGCTTCGACACGTTTACGACCGAACATGAAGACATTCTAATGAACAAGGAACTGGACATTTCTTAGAAAAAAGGAAATGTGAGACATCGTTAGCGCATTTTTGTTTTCTACATTACATTTCTTTAAGATCCTTAATCTTCAAGGAGAAGCAAAGGCTCTTCAACACACACTTCCACTCATGCTTCACCAGGGTTGAAAAAAAGTTCCATAAAACCAAACTCCCTTTATCCTTAAAATCATTAGCTTGTTACCACAAAGACTGACCCCCGTTTTGTACACTCGTGCACATTAAGGTCAATATTGTCAAACGTATTTCATTTGTTACTGTTTTAAACTAGTACCCAGCTCATATTAGCATCCATATTAAGTTAACTTGTGTAGTTTCTGTAATGCAGATTCTGGTCCACAAATACAACTTTATACTGCGTAAGCTCTTTTGTCTGCTGCTATCACGTACTTGCCACCGTTGGCTCTCTGCAGAGCGCCGCCTCTCAGGGAACAAAGGCAGCAGTCCTAGGGGAAGAAACACAAACCATGAGGGATTTTCTTAGATATGTTATTTATAATGCAACTGAGGTGTTTATCTATATCAGGGGTTCCCAAACGTTTCAGCCCGCAACCCCCAAAATAACAGTGCCAGAGACTGGCGACCCCTGTCAACACATTTTTTGCACTTTGGGAACCCCTGATCTATATCACATGCAATATCATCTTGACTTTTGGATATATAATGCTCTGTATTATCAATAGCTTAAACTGGAGATAACAAAGACCCCTCCCTCTGTTGAATGAATGGTATCAGCTGTGTAAAGCTCAGTCTAATCCTTATCACAAAACCACTGTGTAGCTGATATGGCAGTTGTGTAATCGTAACAGTCTGACTGCAGGGTGGCAGTTATCAATAACCAGAAGTCAGCTGTGTCAAGGTATGAAGTGAACAGACCGGGACTAAAAACACTCACATTGCCTTTATTTCAAACTTTCCCTCAAAGTCCTGCTGACAATCGTCTAATTCAACAAGTCTAATCTAGTCTTTCCTCACAGATATCACACAAAGATATGCTTCAATATGCAAAATATGACATGAGAGCGTTATAGGAAAATCTGTTTGCTCTGTATAGTTGTATGGTGAGAATAAAATACTTTGCATTGAGAGCCCGGAAGTTAACATCAGGGATGGTTAGATCCTCTAAGCGAATATAAAGTGCATTCAATGTTCTGATATCAAACTGGAATAAATGAAAATAAGATGATGAATGAGATGTAAAAGGGAAGCTCTGCCCAAAGTTCAGCCACATTCCCAGCATGCTTCACAAGAACCTATTGTTCTCAGCAGACAGTAATGCTGTAAGCAAAGGAAATGTAAAGATACTTTTTACATACAAAGTTTTGGAGAAAAAAAATTCCCCAAACAATAACACAGAAAGGAAGAACACACCGGCTCTGAACAAAGGAGGCGGCAGCACAGAGAGCCAAGTGTGTACGAGTGTGCCAAAAGCTGCTGTGGTAGGGAACTGTAACTATGAATCCACATAAGGTCAGTAAAGGGTCATCATGTGTTTTACTTTGCTTTGACTAAAATGACGACTGACTTAAAGAGACTGGATGAGCCTTAGAAACAGGGTGCACATGCCCAAACATCTGTTTGATGGATTTAAAAAGCAAACCAAACATCTGCAGTAAAACAAAGTTGCCATCATCCTCTCAGCTGCCATTCATTTCATTTCCCTGCATGGGAATATTGAAGTGTTCCTGTGTTATTCCATACTGATCACTGCAAACTGTTCGCACTGCTCTCTGATCTGAGGAAGAGAAACAGCCGTTTCTTCCAAATTAAAAAAGCCCCTCCAGTGCCACCATGTGGTTTCACTATTTGACATTAGAAAGACAAACACCTGCAAAGGCCAATGCTTTTAAATACATATCCGAGTACATTTATTCATTCTTATTTTTGACTAAAATATAGGTAAAACATTTGTGCATTAGTCACATTTCACTACACTTTTCTCACTGTGCTTGAATTAAATTATAATCCATAAGGCTACACTTCCTGACAGTAACACTCTGTTGTTGATGTTAAACAAACAGCATGTTTATGATACAAGGCCACCTCCCATAGGGAAACAACAACTCTGCAGCTGTATTTGGATGGGTTGACTGTTTTGAGTATTCAAATGATTAGAATCAAAATAATGACTATCTACTATAGGCAGCCAAAAGAAACTAACCTCAGTGGTGGCTCCTGCATCACAGCGGGCACACAGCCAGTCGTCTAGCTCTGCTCCATCCCCCGACACGCCATAGCAACCTGAACAGAAAGTGTCACAAATTCACATTATGCATTTCCCTCCAAGGTTTTGTTCATATTTGGTTACAGGAAAAAAAAGAAGTCATCAGGCTATAGAACAACCAAACTAGGCTAACCCAAAAAAAACATCATTGGAAAATACCGCAGTAATTATAATAAGAAAAACTTTTACTCAACTAATGACACTTCATTTAACCAAATAATGAATTGTAGGTAAGGCTCTATGCTGTGTTAGAGTTTCCAGCAGATTCATTTATTGTGTTGGCATATTTATCCAGAATACATTTTTGGTGCCAAGCAGTATTTTTAAGAATAACCAATTGAGATTTGTATTTCCTAAAGAAAACCAAAATCAAATCAAGTTTTATTTATATAGCACATTTATAAACGATTTTTGGTCGAGCCAAAGTGCTGTACATATAATAAAAATAGCCTACAGTAGAGACACTTTACAGCAAATACAACAGCACAGATTGTTCAGAATATCAGTATGAGAAAAACGACACCCTCTGTCCTTAGACCCTCACATCGTACAAGGAAAAACTTCAAGAGAAAACCCCACAGTTTAAGGGGAACATGGGAGAAACCTCAGGGAGAGCAACAGAGGAGGGATCCCTCTCCCAGGACGGACAGACGTGCAATAGATGCCGTGTGTAAATCGAAGAGATAATACATTTTACAGATGACAAAAATTACAAAATTACTAAATGTAAGATACATTTAACTTAACATCCCCTGAAGTGTTCCTAACAGATGCTTACTGGTATGTACGCGGACGCAGCACTGAGCACAGGTGACCAGCCGGCTGGTCCCGTCCTCGGCTATATGAGGGTTGGACAGCTGGCCCTCCCCGTTATCATTCGTCTTGCTAGATTGTGTGTTGAAGCACATTTCAGGGATGAGTGGCTTGGAAAACTGGCGGCTGCCTGGACGATTCACCAACGCCCCGCTGGAACCCCCACTGCTGGACTCAGACTACAGGGTAGGGAAAAAGGAGGCTTGTTTTGGGAATATCAGATTGATGCTTTCCTCAGTTAGAACTGTCCAACACACATTCCCGTTTAGTGATTAAACAATGCACAATTGTGTTAACAAAAATTATATATTACAATGAGACATTTGTTTCACTAAGAAACGATAAGAGTTATTTTTTAAGTAATATTTAACTTATATATATATTTATATCATATACAAGTTGTTTGCAAATAGGCAACAATTACAAATCATAACTTTCTACGACAGATATAACAACAATTTAGGTAAAGTAGTAACTAAAGACATCTATGTTCAACTCAAATTATTCTATCGCACTATTTTAACACCTTCATTTGTGTCTTTCCAGAGGCGGTTTGTCATAAATGACAATTATTCATGAAATGCTGACTGAATATCCAATAAGAACTGAAACCGACAGTTAACTTCCTAAAAGCACAACATGCTTGTAGTAGTGACCTGATGGTAGGTGTGGAAGAGCAGGCAGATGGAGCAGTAGGGCGCCTTCTTGCCCATGCTCTTGTTGAACTCTCTCTCTGCCTGAGGATTGTGCGGCCGACACTGCCACAGCTGGGTGAGCGGCTTCGCCCACTCCTCGGTCTCCTCCTGCTGAAATTCCTCATTTATATAATCATCTACAGATAGGACGATAACAAGAAGGTAAGACTTGAGTGTGAATAAAGATTGTGGAAGCATTAGAAACAAATGTAGACCATGATCAAAAAATTGAAATATAAGTAATCAGAAAAAGACAAAATATGATGATTACTAGGTAACCTGTAACCACATAACATAATACTACTAAATTATGAATGAAACAAGTGCGTACCGTTGTCACTGTGCTCCTCCTTGAACAGAGGGTGATTACGGGGCAGTTTACAGAGCTGCGCCTGCTGCTGCAGCAGCTTCTTCACAACTGACTTGCAGTACGACTGCTCTTCTGACACCTGCTGGAGCAACAAGTGTATAGCAAGGCAAAACTTCAAAACAAGGATTATTCTGTAGCACAGCACATAGGATCAGCTGTAAGCCCATTTGCGGACATATTGGGAGCTCTGTACTCGTATGCATACATCTCCAGATAAAGACTGGGTCTTTTTAAGACTTGGTGGCAGCTTGTAATAACTTACATGCTGAATCCGAGGGATCACCTTCACCTCAGCTTGGACTGGTTTGCTGACAGGAATGGTGTCATTCAGGATGATAATGCCAATATCTTCAAGGGGGGATTGCTTACTCTGTATATGAACAGCATGAATAACATTGAACATTCAGGGCAGACCATTTTATCAATAATGCCTGTTAACGTGTAGCCTGCCAACAGAAAGCTCACCAAGAATTGTTGTGCTAGATTAGTAAGGTGTTAATAAAATGTGTAAAGTGTCTAATAGAATTAGTAGTAATGCTGAGGTCACAGAGTGGAGTATGCAAGAAACATGCAAGGAAAATGCACAGTACAGAGCCACCAAAAAGCCTTGCCACTTTTCCCCCCCTTCCATTTTTAGTATCTACATGAACAATTGTATTATTAAGAAAAGACACACCTTTATGAGAACTAGAAATGAGTTATTTTAGATTAGGTGTTAGTACATGCAACCTAAAACACAACTTGTGCTCAAACATACGTGCGCACAGAGAGCCAAGAATGAAAAGCTTGTTGTTTTCTGTTAAATGCATGCTCTAAAGAATACCAAAGTGAAATGACAAACCAACATACCTTTCGCTTGTTCTTTGGGGCCTCTATCTCTTTTTTGCTCAACTCTTTAAGTTGTGTTAGAGGCAGAGAGGAAAAAGTCTTGATAGTGGGCTTCAGTTCGGCCAGAGGCTCAGCAGTGATTGATACCTCAGGTTTTTCTTCCTTCTGGTTCAGCTCCACAAGACCCAGTGCTTCGGATTCATTCACTGCTGCTTTGGTAAGAATCATCTTGGATTCTGGCTGTGGCTCTATTCTTTCGCAGCCCGGTGCCTGAGGCGAGGGCTGGCCCTGAGCGACTGATGGTGTACAGGTTTTGTGCTGGAGATGACAGGACTGATGCACTCGGGCGTAACTGTGCACCTGCAGCTGCGTGTGAGGCTGCTGCTGCTGCTGCTTCACCAGAGTGTAGCTCTTTACTTGGAGAGTGTCTTTAGGATCCAGAGTCCTGTGGAAGAGCAGGCTGGCTACTCCCATTTTGCGTGAAGGCTGAGCGGTGGCATCTGTCCACGAAGGTGAAGCTGAAACTGACAGATGTCCGTTTCTGGGCTGGGACTGAGACGAGATAGCAGGAGCACGAGTCTTCGAATAGTGTGGGGCACGCACGACGTCACTTCTGTGAAATGGATCCAATAATGTGAGCTTGGTTGGTGTGACAACCAGCTTGGGTGGGCCTGCAAAGTAAATAAGAGATCATTGCTTAGGAAGTGGAAGAGAAAGAAACTATACTAATAAAACAACTTTTAGGAGGTCAAGACATACAGGAAACAAGTTTTTAGGTGACAATACCTTTAATTTTCTTGCCATCTTGTGACATAGTACGTGGCGGTATAAGGCTTAGTCTGGGACGCTTCCCATACTGCTCCACATCTTCCTCATCTTCATCCTTAGGAACAACCTCCTTAGGCACCTCCAGACAAACTCTGTGTCTCTTTGTCTCTATCCTGTGTGTAGCGCTGAGGACCAAACAGAGGCACAGGATAGTGTTAGAAACACCATTTATTTATCTGTTTACAGTAACTGAAACTTTGACAAATACCTCCTACAACAAAAATGTTATTTCTAAAATTAAACAGATATTAATTATTAGAAGTTTATTATTTGTCTAGAGTAATTAGTACCGATTTGCTCTGCAGTAATTTGGTCCATAATCTAAGAGTAACTGGAATTCAGCATTTTATATTGTATTTGTTTGCGTTTAAAAGCCGTTCTAAAGTTCAGGTGTGTTTAGCATTTTGTAATAACCATACACTATTATGCAAGAATACTGAGATGTTCATGGGTTTTCCCAACAGAGAGTGCAAATTAACCGTGATTACTAAATCACCCTAGTTTTGTACTTTAACACTTACACCATAAACCATTTAAACAAATACACATATAAACAAGGACATTCTCTTCTGTAGAATAAACCCACCTCTTCCGCTCTCCATCCTCCCCACAGCTCTCCATGGAGTTACTGTTGCAGGTGATGTCAGTAAGGTCCCCTAGGAACTCCTTGGCCTCTGGGGTGGGCCGTGTGTGGTCGATGGGGGCCACATCTCTTCCTGCCAGCCACTGTTCATAGCGTTCCGGCTGGTATTTCTTTACAAATACATCCATGGAAATCTTCACCATGTCTTTGCGGCACGAGCACTAAAGAGAAGTAGAGCACAAAAAGGTTGCGATTGAAATTATGATGTTTACATGACTATACATACATTATTCTCTAACTAATAACGTCTTATTCAAAGTGGGTTTTCTATGCGGCCCTTGAGCGGTCCTTACCAAAACTGCTTGCTTGCCATACTCGATCCATCTCTCTGTTGCAAAGTTAGTGGATTCTGCACAGTTGAAGCCGTGGTTGAAGCCAGCGTGATAGGCATAGGGAAATGTTATCATGAACTCACCAGCCCTCTGAGTAATCTTCAGGAAAGGTAAAAAATATGTATATTAGAGACTGCAGGTTATACATTTGGCTTGTTGAGTATGTATAAAAGGGCAAAAACATATAATATTCCTCCCACCTTTTCAAAAGGAATGCCATACTTCTTCAGAATAGAGGGAGAGAGGAGAGTCATCTTGTGCCTCAAAAAGGCCTCACAATTTTGGGAACTACCAGGAAAGAAACCTTGAAGAATAGAGGGCAGACAGGTGTTAAAAGGCCGGGTTAATAAAGAATGGTCTATACTATATGCATAAACAGAAAATACTGCGTTTGTCTCTTACCTTTAGCCAAACGCTCCAATCTCTTCCCATGCTCTGGAGGAACACAGTACCTGCACATATTCAGATAAGAATTACCGTACACTGATTATACAAGTATTTATAAAGTTAGTTATTTCATCGTTACTGACCGCCAGAGGCGGTGCTTAGCACTGAATATCTTCTGTCTCGCGCATAATCAGGTCGAATATGTATATCAACAAAGTCACGTGTGACCTCGTATGACCCCGGAAGGCATAAGTTCCGGTGTTGTCAACGAGTTCAATCCTTTTTCATCTTCTCGCTGCACAGGTTACTACTGAGTAGAAGCCAAGCTAGCTTATTGAAAATTAGATTCTAGCTCATCGTTACCTGTAGCCTTGTGATCGTCTCGATCTGAACTGCGGGCTAGAAAACGCTCGCCCTCCAAAGCCTGCGACGAGCTGTCGCCCTCCCAAGGGAGGGGACCGCGGTGTTCACCGCTCGGACCCCAGGAGCTCCGGACCGGTAAAGAGCGGACGCTCCTGCACGTCAGTCGGTGAGATCGCTACCATTTATTGCTGATTGTGCTATCTATTCTCAAGCTAATGATATAATTGTGTCCAAGTTAGCAGAGTGCTCTCGCTCAAGATAATTTGTTACTGCACTAGTGAAGAGAGCGTCTCCGCTCCCCTCTAACTGCACACATTTGATTCCTTACCTGTTCCATCCTCCAGTTAGCAGAGTGCTCTCGCTCAAGCTAACTGTTACGGCGCTAGTGAAGAGTGTCTTCGCTCCCCTCTCACGGCGCACAATTGGTTCCTGTTCCATCCTCCAGTTAGCTGAGGGCTCTCGCTCAAAGTTAACTTGCTACAGTGCTGGTGAAGAGTGTTTCCGCTCCCCTCTCACTGCACACAGTTGGTTTAATACCCGTTCCATCTTCAGTTAGCAGAGTGCTCTCGCTCAAAGTTCACTTGCTACAGCGCTAGTGAAGAGTGTTTCCGCTCCACTCTCACTGCACACAGTTGGTTTAATACCCGTTCCATCTTCAGTTAGCAGAGTGCTCTCGCTCAAAGTTAACTTGCTACGGCGCTAGTGGAGAGAGTATTCCCGCTCTCCTCTCATGGCATATATACCATTAACTGACTTCATTTTGCTCACCTCAGTTAGCAGAGTGCTCACGCTCACGCTAACTACTATTGTGCTCACTCTCCTCCATGGTGGATATTGTTTCCTGGTCCAGTTATTTACAGTCAGCTGAGTGCTCTCACTCAGACTGACTTAAGCTGCCAGCAGCAATTAGTCTGGAGTTTTTTTCATTGGTACTGTCGCTATGTTTAACGGTTGTAACACCTGTATGGCTCCTCTTCAACCAGAGGATGGCCATGACCTTTGCCCCTCTTGTCTTGGCCTCGAGCATCTGAGGGAGGGCCTTTCGGAGGACCCGTGCATGAATTGAATCGCGGTAAGAGCTGCTAGACTAGCCGAGGTTGAACTACTGACTGAGGGTGGCCTTCCCCCTGCACAGTCGACTCCAGCCCAACCTACCCATCCTAGGCGTCGGGCCGCAGAGGCTGCCCCGACCAAGAAGAGGACTAAGCCTGATAGGCTGTCCTCCAGGGTGGACCTACTCACTACTGAGCTAGCCCAGATGAAGTCACTCCTCTTGGCTCTCCATTCTGGTGCCAGTACAGAGCACGCCGCTGCACCCAATCCACTCATGGCTGAGCTGGTTCCAGATGTGTTCTCGATGGCAGCTTCAGCCACTCAATTTAATGAGTATGACGGGGAGGGCCCATCCAATGCTTCTGGGCCTGGCTCCTGTACATGGATCAGCTCATGGATCCTCAGAGGGGGAAGAGGACAGCTCCATGGGTACCGTCATTCGCATGGCTCTGGCTCGCCAGCAGCTGGATGTACAGCAGCCCGAAACAGCGCCTGCCAATGCGTTCTTCAGGCGCACTTTGGCACCCGCCACCTTTACATTACATTGCATTTAGCTGACACTTTTATCCAAAGCGACTTACAATAAGTGCGTTCGACCAACAAAATACAAACTTGAAGAAAACAGAATCATATAAGTACATCAGGCTTCCTAGAGCAAAAACATTTCAAGTGCTACTCAACTGGCTTTAGATAAGCCAGCCCTTTAGTGCTTTGTTAATAGTTCTATCGCTCGAAGTGGAGTCGAAAGAGATGAGTTTTCAGTCTGCGCCGGAAGGTGTGCCAGCTATCTGCTGTCCTGATGTCAATGGGGAGCTCATTCCACCATTTAGGAGCCAGGATAGCAAACCCACGTGTTTTTGCTGATGGGAACTTGGGTGCCCTTCGCAACGAGGGTGCAGCGAGCCGTTTGGTTGATGCAGAGCGGAGTGCACGTGCTGGGGTGTACGGTTTAACCATGTCCTGGATGTAGGAAGTGCCAGATCCATTCGCAGCATGGTACGCAAGTACCATTGTCTTGAAGTGGATTCTAGCAGTTATCGGAAGCCAGTGAAGGGAGCGGAGGAGCGGTGTGGTGTGGGAGAATTTAGGAAGGTTGAAGACCAGGCGAGCAGCTGCATTCTGGATGAGCTGCAGAGGTCGGAGGGCACATGCAGGTAGACCAGCCAGGAGGGAGTTGCAGTAGTCTTGGCGTGAGATGACGAGAGCCTGGACCAGAACCTGCGTCGCTTTCTGGGTCAGCTGGGGACGCATCTTCCTGATGTTGTAAAGCGTGTATCTGCAGCAGCGGGTTGTAGCAGCTATGTTTGCAGTGAAGGACAGGTTGTTATCTAGGGTCACACCCAGATTCCTTGCAGTCTGAGTCAGGGAAACAACAGAGGTGCCAATGTTGATTGTTAGGTCAAGAGTGGGACAATCTTTTCCCGGAAGGAAAAGCAGTTCAGTCTTGTCAAGGTTGAGCTTGAGGTGATGATCAGACATCCACTGAGAGATGTCAGCTAGACAAGCAGAGATGCGTGCGACGACCTGGGTGACCTAGCAGTGGTATGAAAAACCATGCGGGCTAATGACTGATCCGAGCGAGTTTGTGTACAAGGAGAAGAGGAGGGGACCAAGAACAGAGCCCTGAGGGACCCCTGTAGTTAATTGACAAGGGTCGGACTCGGACCCTCTCCAAGTAACCCTGTAGGTGCGGTCTTTGAGGTATGAGGTGAGGAAGGAAAGTGCAGAGCCTGAAACTCCAAATGCTTGGAGAGTGCGAAGGAGGATCTGATGATTCACCGTGTCGAATGCAGCAGACAGGTCCAAAAGGATGATGACAGAGGAGAGGGAGGCTGCTTTAGACCCCAATGTCGGGTCACTGATGACCTGCTCACTAAGGCTTACGATGCAGTGGCGCGCATGGGCCGTATAGGCAATTCCCTCTCTCACCTCATGCTCGCCCTCTCAGCTTCCCTGCAGCAGGATGCTCTCAGCGCTTCCTCTACCAGCCTCAGTGACGCCTCATTACAGGCGTTTGCTCTGATGTCTAGAGAGCTTGGGCGCCTGATGTCCACTCTCGTCGCCAGGTTTGGCTGGCACAGTCACCCTTATCAGAGTCATGTAGGAGGACTCTCCGTGCTGTCCTAGTGGAGCCGAGGGAGCTGTTAGATTCAGCTGTACAGGTGCTCGAACGGACTGTCCAAGCTAGTCAGACCAGGCAACAGTTCTCAGCTCTTCGCAGAGACATCGGGGGGGGGGGGGGGGCCCAGAGCCTCCAGAGGCCGGGGGCAAGGTACTGAGGGTCTGGGGCCGGCTGTCGGTTATTTCTCCCAGCAGCAGCTCAACTACTGGGTAGTTGAGGTACAAGCTTCAGACCCCTGGGTGGTTTCCACCTTAACCCAAGGGTACAAGCTTCAGTTCCGATGCCAGCCTTCAGCCGGGTCAAAATGACCACCATAAGCGACCCGGCAAAAGTCGCCCTAAACCAGGAGCTGTCAGTCCTCCTTGCCAAGGGTGCAATCAAGTCTGTGGACCCCATCTCACAGACTCGATTGCACCCTTCTACTCGACCTACTTCCTGGTAAGGAAGAAAGGCGGTGGACTTCACCCAATCCTCGATCTGAGGGGACTCAACAAGTTTCTAAAGATTTTACCTTTCCATATGCTGAGCACAGCGGACGTTCCCCGTTGCCAGGGGGGAATGGTTCACATCCGTCGACTTGAAGGACGCTTATTTTCATGTGCCTATTGTGCCTCATCACAGGCAGTTTCTTCGCTTTGTCTTCAGAGGCCGTCATTTCCAGTTCAGGGTGCTCCCATTCGGACTCTCCCTCTCCCCAAGGGTGTTTACCAGGTGTGTCGCGGCAGCCCTCTCGCCCCTGCAGTCTCAGGATGAAGATTCTGCCATACTTAGACGACTGGTTAATCTGTGCACCATCCCGGTTGCAGTCGACCCAGGACACGGCTCTCCTTCTCTCTCATGTCGCCCGGCTAGGCCTCAAGGTGAACATGGAGAAGAATTGTCTGAACCAGGGTTTCCGCTAGGATTTTTTTCTCGCCGGTCAAATGTCCGAACAGAATTTATTTTACCGGAGAAATTTGAAACTTACCGGTCATGTTTCAATAATAATAATAAGAATTGTGTAGCAGAGTTTCCGTTAGCAGGTAATTACCGGACTAGGACCGGATATGCTGATGTTTAAAACTCAGTTAATGGGGCTCATTTTTATATTTCTTCAGTTTATAATCGTAACGGATCGAACAATTCAGATTCATTTTTCAATAAATGATTCCACAAACAACAAAATTATTACATTCAAAGAAACTACTTGTAGTAGATGAAGTACATTATTCAAAAGTTTACATTAACTTTGAATAATAACACGGGAGAAATGGATCCTCTCTCCAATCGATCGGAGCATCGGACATTTTGACCGGCAGGTTTTAAATTTACCGGTTTTTATTCAATTTTACCAGCTAAAAAACGGTAATTATCGGCTAACGGAAACCCTGGTCTGAACCCCTCTCGGAGCCTAACCTTCATTGGGGTGGCTCTGGACACAGTCACTATGCGGGCCTGTCCATCTGCTCAGCGCCTGGACGACATCCTCCAGCTTCTTCCCCTCTTCAAAAAGGGGCAGGTCTCTGGCATATATCGTCCAGCCCGAACACATCAACGTGCTAGAGCTGCGAGCTGTGCACCTAGCACTCAGGCACTTCCTGCCATACCTGAGGGGGAGGCATGTGATTGTCCGCTCGGACAACACTACAACGGTGTATCACGTAAACCACCAGGAGGGCACCAAATCTGCACGCTTGCTAGAGGTGTCCCAGACTCTTCTGACCTGGGCAGCTCCTTGCCAGCCTACGGTCAATGTATCTGCCCGGAGAGCAGAACCAAGTCGCTGACTTCCTCTCCCGTCACAAGCCTCCACCAGGGGAGTGGAGGCTTCATCCAGAGGTGGTGGCCAGCATCTGGGGTCTCTTCGGCAGGGCAGAGGTAGATCTCTTTGCCTCGAAGATGTCGACCCACTGCCCCCTATGGTTCTCCTTGACGGAGATGACCAGCCCTTTGGGTCAGGACGCCCTGGCTCATTCTTGGCCAGGGTGTCTTCTCTATGCCTATCCACCCCTTCCTCTGATCCTACCAACACTCCTCAGAGTGCTTCATCAGGGCCACAGGCTGGTGGCCCCCCAGGACTTGGTTCTCCCTGCTGCACAGACTCTGTTGTGGGACGCCTTGGCGTCTCCCCAACAGGAAGGACCTCTTGTCTCAGCTGGAGGGTCGGATGTGGCACCCCGACCCCTGCCGCCTCCAGTTGTGGGTCTGGCCACTGGAGGGCCCGACCCACTGCTGAGCGACTGCATAGAGCCTGTCAGGAGGACTATTCTCAATGCTAGAGCACCATCTACTCATAGGCAGTACGAAAACAGGTGGAAACTGTTTTCTGATTGGTGCCAAGGGCGAAATGAGGACCCAGTACATTGCTCGGTGCCTACTACCCTTGAGTTCCTGAAGTCCCTCCTGGACGACGGCCGGTGTATCTCTTTTTAAGGGAGCTCTGAGGCTTCGCCCCCCGAACATCCCAAGGGCTCCTACATGGGACCTGGCCTTGGTGCTGGATGCCCTATGCTCGCCTCCCTTTGAACCCTTGTTACAGGCAGAACTGAGGTGGCTCTCAGCTAAGAATGCTTTCCTTCTTGCCATCACCTCAGCAAAGCGTGTAAGTGAGCTTCAGGCCTTGTCCGTGAACAGCTTGTGTCTGAGGTGGAACTCAGATGGCTCAGGTGTCACCTTATGGCCGAACACAGCGTTCTTCCCTAAGGTGCTGGCCCGCTCTCATTTTAAATCGGCCTATCCAGCTGGCACGGTTTGACCCTCCCATCAGGAGAGGGAGAAGAGAGGTCAAGACTCCTATGCCCGGTGCGGGCCCTTAGAGCTTATGTCCAGACTACCTCAGACATAAGTCAGTCTGAACAGCTCTTTCTGTGTTACGGTGGTCCTAGAAGGGGCTGTGCGCTCTCAAAACAGCGCTTGTCCCACTGGATCGTGGACGTCATTGCCCAGGCATACAAGGCGAATGACCGCCCCTTGCCATCCAGAGTAAAGTGCCACTCTACCAGGAGTGTCTCCACATCATGGGCAACCTTGAGAGGTGTGCCCCTGGAGGACATATGTACAGGGTGAATGTTGCCGCCCCTCACCCGCTGGGTGTGGTCCTCCTGCAGAGTCCACCTAGGCCATCCCTATAGGGTAAGTATTCAGACTTCCTTGTGACTCTGTTGGTATAAGTCATCCAGTGCTAAGCACCGCCTCTGGCGGTCAATAAGGATGAAATAGAACGATAGTTACGTATGAAACTACGGTGCTATGAATCCTGGATGACCGCCAGAGTTCTTGGTCACTCGGAATCTCGTGTTTCCGCAAGAAGATTCCATAGGACTGAACTTGTTGACGACACCGGAACTTATGCCTTCCGGGGTCATACGAGGTCACACGTGACTTTGTTGATATAAATATTCGACCTGCGCATGCGCGAGACAGAAGATATTCAGTGCTAAGCACCGCCTCTGGCGGCCATCCAGGATTCATAGAACCGTAGTTACATACGTAACTATCGTTTTCAGTAGTGTCAATTATATGAAAATAATAATACTCAAAACTAAGTTGAAATAAGAACCCTGTCTTTTCTCTGCAAAAGGGTCTTAGTATTAATATGAATGACTTGAAAAAAAGGAAGTTTATTTCCTCCTTACCATGATTTGGGCTCTCCGAAGTGCAAGTAGTTGATACTGTAGAGGTCCATGTCCTCAGTGTGCCATGCAAAAGTGGTCTTCCACATGCCAAAATACAAGTAGGGTGTGTTAACACCCTCAATGGTGATGCCGCTTTCATGTTCAACAGTATCCAAGATGGTGTCCAGGTGGCAAATGTTCCACTCTTTGACGTCCTGTAAGGGTAGAGCAAATAATACAAGATGTACAAGTGAGACTGGATACAGTAATAAGCACCGCTATAATCAGTAATGTTATCAGCAACGCTTGTGTTACAGGTCAATAAGTGCACAGTAGGGGTGCAACAACTAATCGACTTAATCGATTACCAAATCAGTTGCCAACTAATTCAGTCGTCGATTCGTTGGTGACGTCATCACGTGTGTTTTACGCGCCGTTAAGCTCCAACGTTATTGGTCTTTTTATCGGTACTGGAGACATTAAAAAAATATGTCATGTATTATTGCTACAAAAACATTATATCGCAGTCTTAGTTTCACCAACTCGTTTCTAATATGCAAAAAGACAAACAAATGCGTCCATGATGTATTTTCGATCAGACGAGATCTCTCTCTCCCCCGTCTGTGTGCGAGGGGGCGGGGCAGTTTACACACACGCGGCTGCTACATGCAGCAACACACGGAGGAGATGGCGGAGAGAACGCGCTCCGAGGTTTGGTTAAACTTTACCTGTCTCGATGTGGACAATGCTCGTTGCCAAAAGTGCAATAAGAGTTTAGCATGTAAGGGCGGTAACACGAGCAATTTGTCTAAACATTTAGCAAAAGTGCTCCACATTCAGACGGAGGAATGCACCGGGTTCGACTGTCTTTCTAGTAGCTCTGTAGCCCCATCCACGAGTAACGTTTCCACGTCAGGTATGTTATGTATGCTAGCAGCAACACACAGAGTTAACTACATTATACAAACATGGGTTAATGATTAGAGGTAACTGAGTTATTTATTTTGTTAAAGTTTCAGCTATTCTGTTTACAATTCTGTTATCACATTATTTAATACGATTTGTTAAAACACTGTTGTTTCTTTTGATGTGAAATATTATTTACTTAATTTAAATAAAAAGCAATGTTAATTTTGTTCAAAATGTGTTTAGTTAATTTAATAATATGTATTTTTGAATCAAGTATTCATCTTTATTGTTAGTTTCCACATGCCTAAAACAACCTCAAGCTAAATCTAAAAGTTGATGGTTAAATAAGAGCGTTTGAGAAATTGTGCAAGGCGTAATAGTCCGAATAGTCGATTAATCGTTTCATTAAATCGATAGATTAATCAATTATCAAATTAGTCGTTTGTTGCAGCCCTAGTGCACAGACAGCAATAACAAAACCTATCAATGTTCTTTTACATTTGATAGAGCCACAACTCCCAGAAATGTACACTCACACGGCCGTATAGAGATCCATTAACATCTGCCCCGTATATGGGAGGGTTAAACGTCACATTCTTCCAGTACTTCCTTTCCAGCTCCTCAAAGTCATCATAATGTGGACTACAGAACCTACAAATTGCATATAAAATAGATCATTAGTACAAACACCATAGGTTTACTTTCACCATCATATGGTTGAAGATACAGTTAGCAGCACTTTTGCAGATGTAACAGACTTTCTGTTAACCAAAGAAATAATTACATAAATGTATTTTATTTCTGCACTTCTCACTTGTCACTGTTGGCAATCTTGCGGAACTCTCCGACAGTCATGGACTTCTTCTGAATGTTGTATTGTGTGAAAAGGCCCGACTGGCCTGTCACCACCTGCTGAATGGGTGCAGGGATCACCAAATCGTCTATGTCATCATAAGAGCCTCTGGGCTTCCATTCCTTTGGTGGGACAATCTTGGAGGAGGAAAGCGGACAGTGAGTCATCACAATGATTCACCAGCTAAGCTTAGAGGTCTAAATGCATTTATTTTTCTCAATATTTGTATTTCATCACTTAATATGTACAAGATTTAACAGATACCCTTTAGTGAATCATATCATTGCAAACAAAGACATCAAAACTGTCCGATAGCAGTCAGTCTTGGCATGTTTGAACAAATGCAGTGTGTCTGTACTCACTCTGGCCAGGCCTGCTTTATGTGCTCCCTGGGACTCCACATATGCAACATAGCGGCTGAAGTTCTTAAATTCCTCAGCAGTGGGGTAAAAAGTCATGATCCCTTTGGAACTATGGTTTTGGGAAACCCCGTCCGACGCCATCCCAAAACTGAACGGCAGCTCCTGCAGATTGCAAATAGGAAATTAGGATTTTATGATGAATCGATTAAGTATATTTTTAGGTCAGCTTTGCCATGATTTATAAGTACCCACAACAAGGAATCTTTAACTTGGTCCTGCCTTTCTGACCTGCACCTCTAGAGCTAAATTGAGTGACTGAAAACATCTACTTTTCAATTATTTTAACATAATTTAATGGTAAGTATCGATAACAATATAAAACATTTTATATTTCAACACATTTACTTCTCAAGATTTCTCAAACTGGTTGCCAACAGTGTTTGCATTTCATTTCTACTCAAAAAATCCTCAAGAGGGATTATAGGTTTACATTTTTGGAATTGTTATATTCATAATTAAAGTGTTTTTGAATAGTAGAGAGAGCCATTAAGCTTTAATGTCACTGTTAAACAGAGGCGGGAGAAGTACTCAGATATTGTACTTAAGTAAAAGTACCAGAGTGTAGGAATACTCTGTTACAAGTAAAAGTCCTGCATTCAAAATGTCACTCAAATAAAAGTACAAAAGTATTGGCATCAAAATATACTTAAAGTACCAAATCGTAAAAGTACTCGTTATGCAAATTGGCCCATTTCAGAATAATATATATATTTTTGATTATAATTATTGATGTATTAATGTGTTTGAAGCTGGTAAAGGTGCAGCTAGTTTTAATTAATTTGAATGCTGCTGAGTAGTTTGTGAATTTTACTCTGGGTGTTACTCAAGACCTAAGTGTTGAATATTATTCAAATAATTAATCAAAATCTGCAAAGTAACTAAAGGTATTGTATAAATGTAGAGGAATAGAAGTAGACCATTTACGTCTGAATTGTAGTGGAGTAGAAATACAAAGTAGCAAAACATTGAAATACTCAAGTAAAGTACAAGTCTCCGAAAAGTGTAGAAGTACAGTACTTGAGTAAAAGTACCTAGTTACTTTTTAACACTGCTGTTGAATAGTACGTGTTTGTATCATACAGTGTATGGTTTGTATACGTTTCCTCACCGTGGCCCGGGATACAGTTGACAGGGAAAAGCTAAAACCGCCGCTGATTGGTTAAACCCGCGTCTCTTTAATTCAGCCCCACTGTGGCAGGCCGGCTAACATTAGCGTGTTTGCTAACTTGCTCCAAAACATGACCTAATTTGTATAACGAATATCGTTATGCACCGACACATAGCATTAGCTAGGTGGATAGCGTGAAGGTTTTCAATGTGGCCACGTAAAGTTACATGATAGTGCAAATGTACATGTTATCTTGTTTGCATGGTGTCTCGAAGGAGAAAGTAATAATCACAACACAGCTAGCTAGCTAGCTAGCTTATTTACGTTAATACTAATGGGAACTGACTATTTCCTGTATTACAGATAAAAACGAAGCTGCGTTACATCCTACAAAGCACTTTCGTTGGCAAACTTGGGCAGAGCTAGCTTTAACCCTAACTTAATACTTGGTATGTTGTACAAATAGAGTTAGCGTTTTCCTATCCTCAACGTTAAACACATTTTTGCGTCACAGAGAGTACATAAAGTGAACTATCATCTGCCAAGTCAGTGATATCTATTCCAGGAAATAGACGACACCCGCCCCCTAGCATCGACACTAGCAGTTCCGGCTAGTTAGCCATCAGATTAGCATTTTGAGTTAAAAAGCTAGCTTTCTGGGACGGCTGTAGGATAACTCGACAGACAAGTACTTACAGCCTGCTCTGGGTTGATTCAGACGAGTTCCCTTTTGTTGTAAACAACTCGTAATGAATAAAACCGGCAGTTCTGAACATAGGAGAATGAAGAGAGCTTGCTAACTAAACCCCCTGTGAATAGACCACTATCCTCCATTACCACTTTTACGCATGTTCACGCATCTCGGATTTTGTTTACCACAACACGCATGGGACACGTTCAGCCAATAAGAGGGCGGCTCCTATGACTCGTCATATGATGAGATGTTAAATCTCATTTTTCTGTAATGACTGTAAATAATTATATTAACAGACATCTTGTCAAGATAATCCGTGTATCTACCGTCCAATTGTTTTTCTTTATTAGACACGTAAACGGAAGAGCGTCTGAGAGGCGTTTTTGCTTTTTGCTTTTCACCTTCTAAATGGTCAAATGGTCCTTGGAGCGAGGGGCGGGGCGAGACTCTCGGAAGTGATTTCAAAACAAAAGCACTCGTTTGCTAAAATCACACTATGAATCACTACAGTATCCTGCTGAAGGACCGGTGATTATTATAAACAAGGGGAATTTAGCGATCACAACGAAAACGGCCAAGACACATATTGAGCCCAGAAAATGTATGTTATTAAGGGCTGTAAATATAATAAGCCTCTGTCTAAAATGGACAACATTGTTAGGAGATTAAAAAATATACAGCGATTCTGCACTGCGGTCACTCAGCCGTCTCTCGCGTTTGTTTTTTCAAATCAGCTGCTCTTCATTCCTGCTATATTTGACGAGTGATACAAATATGTTTTACCACAAGTTCTTAAGAAAACTGACTCTGTTGGACTCGTTTCTAGTTTGACTTCTACCAGAAATAAAATGAAGTACTTTTGCTGTGTACTTTGTGAGTAATCCTCTATCAGTCCCCTCCATAGTACATAATGCATGTTTTTCTGCTATCTTTGATGAGTGATACAAATATAATTTTACCATTAGTTCTTAATGAAATTGATACTGTTTGACTTTGTATTAGTTAGCCTACTACTTACAATACGTTGAAGTACTTTTACTGTGTATTGTTTGAGGAATACTCTGTCAAAGTCCCCTGCTGAGAACAAAATCAAGCCACTTCTGCTAAGTTTGATGAGGGAATTCTTTTTTGTTGCCATTAGTTCTTCGTGAGATTGATCCTGTTGGACTCAGTACTAGTGAAACTACCCCCACAAGTACTATTAAGTACTTACTGTGTACTTTTCCAACAATCCTCTGTCAATGTCCCCTCCTGAGAACAAGAATGCATGTTTCTCTGCTATTTTGAATAAGCGTTAAAAAACCTTTCTTCATGAGACTGATATTGTTGGACAGAGTATTTTAAGAGGATATGGTGGACATGATATCATGTGGATGTGAATTGAAATCGTATTTTTGAATGTCAAAGTTAAATGACAGTATGTACGTTTGGAATTCAGTGCAATTATTTTCAATAAAAACAAAGTATAAAAAAAACAAACACAGGATGTCCAGGAACTTCAGAATTGATCTTTGATTGTTTTATTATTCATACTTATTATATTCATCTTTGAACTCAGTCATCTATAATTACTGATCAAATATAATCAGTTTGACATTTAATTTACTATCTCCGACATAAGCAGTAAAATAATAACCTTCTAAAAAAATAGTAATAGACTTTAATACTTATTTAAGATATAGTAAAGGTTTAAATTACATCAAAAATGTTGTCCAATTGTGCTTCAAACGTTCACATATGTTATGAGGATATGCAAATGAATTGCATTTGAAATATATTACTGGCCTATATATAATCTGAAAGTACTGATGTGGTTTTGTCCTGTATCAATATGTAAACAATTTCAGTCCTCATATTAATATACTGTATATTTATATGATCAAATTGAAGAATATATGTTGTCTACCAAAAGGTCTACATAATTAATGTGTAAATTGCAATATCACTAACCGAGGTACACCACACTATAATTGCAAAAGAACAAACTAACAAAATCAGCTGTGAACATCGTTTTTATTTCATGCCAGGAAAGGCACATTCATACACTGAATCCAACAGTTTTGATAGGGTATATATATACTGTTATATGCATCTACATTCAGGCAGTGCATATATTATGATTCCCATGAATAAATGCAACAACAACATTAACACATCTTTGTTAACCACAAAAAGATATAGCACATTTGAGCACTGACAATTTGTATATGCATACTTTCAGCATAAAAGGAAATACATGTGCACCCTGTCGTCCATACAGTTGTACTGACCTTTAACACCAAAAGGAGACATACAGTACATTGCATCAGCAGCACTTGTTGGTTTTTGGAAAGTTCATAGAGAATAAATGATGTTTATTTGAGATGTCAGTGCCAAGTCTGTTTATGTCCTCTCTAATTATATATATTTTGTTCCTGTTGCATAAGACCAGTCATGTTGCATCAGCACTCTGTCAAAATGCATATTCAACAGACCAGCATGGTCTGTACAATTGTCCCTCTTTCTAAGGGAGTTTCACCTTTGGCTGACTCACATTTGATTTCAAGCTTTGGACACTCCACAGGTTTACACATTTTCTTTTACTTGCACCTTACTGTGAGACAAAGTAGCCCCCATGAATGAATGTCTTTCTACGAGCATAATGTGATCTTTTTCTTTCTGTTTGACACATTTAGATAAATATGATGGACTCCAGAGTTTTAGAGCAACACACTCAGCAGCTTAAAGCGGTCAATACAACCACAATTTGTTATGGCAGTTATTTCAAAAAAGGCAAAAAAATACTTACACATTGAAAGAACACTCAATTGATTAGAGAGAAGTGCACAGGGAACTTTTCAATATAAGAATATATTGCAACTGTTTGACACAATCTTGATACTTTTTCATATTCTGAACTCATGCAGGGCCTCTGTACTTTTTTATTATCCTTAGGATATGATATACTATTGCAGCCATAGCTGCTTGAATAAAGGAGAACTTTAGGGCATCCATTTTTGTTTATCTGTTTTGTAACCAGCTCAGATAAATCTCTCATTGCATATTACTTGATTTCCATGCAACTATGAATTCACGAGTTGGTTACATTGTGCTTAACATAGACGCACATAGCTTTTTGAGTTAGATAAGAGTTCAATATATGGAAAATATATTGCTGTAATTTGAAAATAGATGAAGCATTTTTATAGACAATAACCGTGATTGAGTCTTAATGTTTGAGACTGCGAACACTGCACATGGTGTGGATGGGGTTATTAGGTGGCAGAAATGCAGCTGGACGATGGACTTTGTGTTCCCCCTTCTGGCAATATGTAACTTATGTATGAATGACAGTATATATTCAATGTTTTTATTATTCTGTAATAAACTATTATTGTTTTTGTTATAAGCTGTCCTTCACTGTCATACTGACACATCAGATCTGTAATTCCTCAACTCACCACAGTTTCTCAATGAAAGCAGATATAAGTTTGATCCAATGATTAGTTAATAACCATTTTGTAAAGGTACATCAGAAGTTCTGCAGTACTATACAGAATATTTAAGGAGATGAAAATCACCACATCAACATTTCATGAATCTTATGCCTCTTGCATGTGGTAGGAGTCCGTTTTTCACCAGATATATTTCATACTCAAATCACGAATGGACACAGTCCTCCAGGTATTGGGTCGTTTTGCAAACATGACGCAATGAAGCACAAATTGCAATTAAAGCGAAGCAAAAACTGACTGTGTTTCCATCCATTCCCCTTATCGTTATGTTTGTTCCATCGTTCCCTGGTCGGCAACATGCCAAAGTCCTGCTTAATCTTGGAGCACCAGTGGCCGTCCACATCCTGAAGATGAGGCCCTGTTTATATCAGCTCTCAGCCTGGGAGCAGCCTTAAGAACACATGCCGTAAAAGGCCTTCTGCTTGGTTCCGTAACAAAACTAGTCTCCCAGTTGGTTATTTGTCCACAGGCTTATTGATTTTCAGTGTGTGGAGAGAGTCAGTGAGAGCCATGTCTGTTTTGCTGCTGTCTTTCCTGGACATGTCAGGCTCCCATAGAAAGAACTCGTGGAGGAGGGTGTTGACGGTGTCAGGGCACTCCATCATGACCATGTGACTTCCCTCCTCGATGACTTTCAGGAATGCAAACAGAAGGATCTGGAAAGGCAGCCAAGATGATTACAGAACATTACAAACAATATAACACTACAGTGCACATACAATTTCACATATCACAAGATAAAATAGCAAATATTCATATATGAAAACGTGTTTTACCTCTGCCATGCGCTGGTCCTCATCCATTGGCACAAACTTGTCACACATGCCATGAACCAGAAGGATGGGCACAGTGAGCTCAGCATGGTAGACCTCATCCCCTTCAGGCCAGTACTGACCACTCATCATGGCCCGCAGCACAAACGGAGACACATTGAAGGCGTTGCCTTGCTTCAACAGCTGCTTTTCTTTGGCACCTTGGCGGGCAAACCCAGCTCTGAAGGTTAGAAAAAAGACAGGGAAGTTATATTTCAGGTTTTCCAATGTAATTGTTCAAGTGTTTTGGCATCAACAAGCCATGTTGTTCTGTCATCGGCAAGAGAATATCCTGTATCTGTCACTGTCTGTACTAGAGTAAATGTTGGCATGCAAATGCGTATCTTACTTGAGGAAGCTCCAGGCCAGACAGGGTGTCAGACAGTGCAGGACACAAGATGGCAGCTGGAAGATGGAGCAAAGGCTGGGCTCCAGAGCTGTGGGGCCGCCTCCATTGATCATCACCACCTTATGGACCAGATCAGGGTATTCGTGGGCCAGGAAGGTGCAAAATGACACTCTGGAAGAGATAAGTGTATAATCACTACTACATAAGTAAATGGTTCAATAAGGTTTATAATAAAGCATTTTACACATCCTCACCCATATGAGTGGCCAATGAGAATGTTGCGTTTACGAGCATATCTCTTAAAGATGGCACGAAGGTCCTCTGCAAGGGCGTAAAAAGTATAAGCCGCTGCAATATGCGGGGCAGTGCTGGCTCCATGCCCCGCCAGGTCAGGAGCAATGACCTCGTAGCCAAGCCGAGAGAAGAAGTCCAGTTGGCTGCCCCAAATGTCCAGAGAACCTCCCACGCCGTGCACGAAGAACAACGCTACGTCCGAGTGTGTTCCTTTGCAGCTGGAGATGACTCTCTTTGAGTCGATTTGCACAGTGCGCTTGGGCTTGCGGCGCCGGCGGCGAGGCGGTGGAGCAGGTTTATGTTCCCCAAGGGGTGAGGGAACCAGAGGAGGAGCAGAGTTGGGGTCTGGAGAAGAGGGCATTTCTTTGTAGTCTGCCAACTCCACCTCTACGGTGCTGCAAGGCTCCAGATCCCCATCCTGACACTG